GTTGTTTTCAGCCTTTGTTTCTCACTAGGCTCATCTGGCTGTGGTTTAGGACCTTTACTCTGATTGGATCCAGAATTGGCATTCTGCTAATTATCTACTATAATAGTAATAATTTTATTATTTATTTTACTCCATAGACATTAAAAATTGTTCAATTATAAATAATTTCACAACATGATAATAAAATACATGCAGACCAGTCATAAAACATACCAGATACTGTGAATGTACGCTTTTCTTTCTTGCAGGGATTTTGTTTTAATTGTTTCATGTATTTCGGCATAATTTTTTGTCATTGCAATCAACTAGGTATACTTGTTTTTATTGTAATCTTTTGTGCGACTCTGGTAGAGTTTTCATCAAAGATTTTTTCTATTAGTCGCCAAGATTTATTTCAGGTGTTAATCAAAATTTGTGTAAAAAATTCTTCAGAATTTACGGAAAATGAGAGCGTAGCTATCGAATTTTCAAAAACTAGTTTCATGTTCAATAAACCCCAGTTACCAAATTTCGTCGATATCGCACCCACGTTTTGGTGCGCTCTTTCGTGGTAGGAATTTGAACATTTTTCAAAATCGGAACGCATACCGCAAAATCTATTCAACAATATGGTTGCTGAGAAAAAAATTTAAAATGAATCGCAAATTTCACCACTTTTTTGAGAGTGGCTTCCAAACAAAACACGTTGGGCCCTCTGTTTATTTGGAAAAAGTGTTTCTTTGAGCCCCTTTGTACCCTATTTTTTAACATACATATATGTAACACCCTGTATATGAATTGCGCCGCGTCCTTCGTCGGTAATTCAGTATGCGTATAACCAAAGCGACATGTAAATTTAGTAGCATTGTCTTTGATCGGGTATTGTGTAACACTTTATTCAACAAATTCTGTTACTCAGAAAGTAAGTAATCAGCCCTGTGATGTACCAGAAACGTCAAACTTAACGTGCAGGTTACGTAGACATATGAGTATTAGCATATGTCTGCCGAAAAACGTTATTTTGCGTTATGTATAGGCCAAGGACGTGTATTTTTAACGTCCTTGGTATAGGTAAAATGACCATAGACATATATGAGAATATCATTTTTGACAGATAACCATAATTAAGTTTAACGGCTGAATATTTGATTGCCCTGGGATCTGTCTCTATAGGTTTGTTCGTTTGTCTTGCGCGATTGGTTTGGTGCAACACTGATGTGACGTCACGGTGCAAGCTGGAGTAATCAGTTTTTGATGCACTGGCATCTAACAAACGAACGCTTATTTAGGGTATAGTAAATAAATAACCAGCAAAAAAAATTTATTATTTATTATACAGGAAACTATTTTTCATTTACTTGTTGTATGACCTCTGCAATATTATCTTCCTCACTAGTCACTTGACGATCTACTTATAAATTGTTCAATAATATCATGAAATAAAAGTTCCATTTCCAATAATTTCTTCATCGCAGATTCCCCACCTTGTTTTTTCAAAATGTTTATGGTTATGAGAACGGTCTTTTCACGTCTAATTTATGCTGCACTAAGTTGCTCGCACTAAAATGCACGAACAAGTTTGTGCTGTTATGAACTGAAATGGGCAAATTGCACTACACAAACGAACAGAATGCATGCAGTTACAAACAGACAAACGAACGCATTTGGTACACCGGTGTTGATTAGTGCAGACAAACGAACAAACCTTATATATTGTTTAATATCAAAATAGATTTTTGATAAATCAAATATATTATTGTTGTTAGGTATGGATAAAGGTACTGACACATTCCTCTTTAAAATCGAACCAAAACAAGAAGAAGAAATCCATTCCTTTCTTCAGGAACACCTTTCAGTAAGCAACGAAGTTTTGGTTACAGTAAAGGATGAGGTTACCATTAGTACACAATGGCCCGTATGAATAAAAGTAAGCAAATGCTTATACTTAGAAAATTCAAAGTAAATACTCGTAACTGCCCCTTCATACTGGTCAGTTTAGCATGGTTTAGCAGCGTTGCACTGCGTCCTGTCCTTCTGCTTAGAAGCGCTGCTAAGTCGCCCAGTGCGAAGGAGCACTTACGAGTATTTACTTTGAATTTTGCAAGTATAAGCATTTGCTTACTTTTATTCATACGGGCCAATGTTCTAAATCTCTATATAATGAAGAAGCACAGCAACACTCTTACTTTCAACGTCTTTTAATTCAATGTAAAAGAGTGTCTAAGGATTTTAAATGTGCTGCGTATGATTATGGTACAAATAATGAACACCTCGTCAAACAACATCTCTTAAAACATAAAGTTTATAAGGATTTTAAATGTGCTACTTGTGATTATGGGACAAATAATAAACGCCTTTACAAACGACACCTCATAAAACATAAAGTTACTAAAGAATTTAAATGTGCTGATTGTGATTATGTCACAAATTATAAAAGCAACTTCAAACATCTTTTAAAACATATAGTTTCTAAGGATCTTAAATGTGTTACTTGTGCTTATAAGACAAATAATAAACACCTCTTCAAACATCTTTTAAAACATATGGTTTCTAGATTTTTAGTGAACCTAAACAGATTTTTACAAATTTATTGTTATTGTTAGATATGGATGGAGATAATGACAGACTACTCATTAAAATCGAACCAAAACGGGAAGAAGAAATCGATACCTCTTTTCAAAGAAACATTTTGGTAATTAACGAAGCTGTGGTGACAATAAAAGATGAAATTAGCAATAGTGCGCAGTGTTCTAAATCTCTTTATAATGAAGAAGTACAGCAACACTCTTCCTTTCAGCGTCACCTTTTAACTCTGTGTAAAACAGTATCTAAAGATTTTAAATGTGCTGGTTGTGATTATGGGACAAATCATAAAGGCAACTTTAAACAACATCTATTAACACATAATGTTTCTAAGGATTTTAAATGTACTGATTGTGATTATGACACAACTAATAAACGCAACCTTAAACAACATCTTTTGAAACATAGAGTTTCGAAGGATTTTAAATGTGTCGATTGTGATTATCACACAAAGTATAAAAGTAACATTAAAAAACATCTTTTGAAACATAAAGTTTCGAAGGATTTTAAATGTGACAATTGTGATTATGAAACAAAGTATAAAAGTAACATTAATAAACATCTTATGACACATAATGTTTTGAAGGGTCTTAAATGTGCTAGTTGTGATTATGGGACAAACAGTAAACACCTCTTCAAACAACATCTTTTAAAACATAAAGTATTGAAGGATTTTAAATGTGCTGATTGTGATTATGAGACAAATTATAAACACAATTTCAAACAACATCTTTTAAAACATAAGGTTTTTATGCGTTTTAAATGTGCTGATTGTGATTATGAGACAAAGTATAAAAGTAACTTTAAAAAACATATTTTAATGCATAAAGGTTCGAAGGATCTTAAATGCGCTACTTGTGATTATGGGACAAACAATAAACACCTATTCAAACAACATCTTTTAAAACATAAAGTTTTGAAAGATTTTAAATGTGCTGATTGTGATTATGAGACGAATTATAAACACCACTTCAAACAACATCTTTTAAAACATAAAGTTTTTAAATATTTTAAATGTGCTGATTGTGATTATGTCACAAATAATAAATACAACCTTAAACAACATCTTTTGAAACGTAAAGTTTTGAAAAATTTTAAATGTGCTGATTGTGATTATGGGACAAATAATAAACACTACCTTAAACATCATTTTTTGATACACAAAGTTTTGAACGATTTGAAATGTGCCGATTGTGATTATGGCACAAATGATAAACGCAAACTGAAACGACATCTTTTGAAACATAAAGTTTCTAAGGAATTTAAATGTGTTTCTTGTGAGTATGGGACAAATGATAAATACCACTTCAAACGTCACCTTTTAAAACATAATGTTGCGAAGGAATTTAAATGTGCTACTTGTGCTTACGGCACAAATGATAAACACCACTTTAGACGCCACCTTTTAAAACATACTGTTTCTAAGGAATTTAAATATGCTAATTGTGATTATGGGACAAATGATGAACGCCACCCCACCTGAAACAACATCTTTCAAAACTTAAAGTTTGTGAAGGATTTGGAATGTGCTGATTGAAATTTTGGCACCAATCATAAATCACCTCGTGAAACATACCTTACTTAAGGATTCTAATGATTATAAAATGTAGTCATTGTGTGTGAGACAAATAAAAAAAATATTTCAAGGAACACCTTTTAACAGGTACCTATAAGGTTTTCAAATATCAACAAAAATGTCAGGTGGAAACTGTCGAGTGCTGTGAAATACTAACTTTTTAAAAAATTCCTATGAAAGTTTTTTAAGTTTTAATTAAATAAATGTCAAACAAACAAAATAGTGCACAAGCTTGAAAACAAATTGAACAGACGTACTCGAAATAAGTCAAAATCGATCCAAACGCTAAAGGGATTGTAATTGTAATAATAAGTATTTAATTAACAAGACATAACTACATATTTTATAAATTAACAAGGTAGCGTCATTCGATCTTTCACCCAATCTCTCTTTCTGATGCGAATGTAAACCTAAAGTTTTAAATCTGTCTTTTTTCACTGGAATCCAAGTTCGAACATCATCTAGATTAATTACAATGTGCTGCCACCAGAGGTCCCACTGTTAATCTGAATCTCGAGTGTCCGATTATCTTATTTAATATACAAATATATAACAGAGTTTTTGCACCTTTTCAAATAAACGACGTTTTTTATCTCGTTTATATTCTGCAATTCGCACGTTTTCTTGCAATGAATACAAAATACTTTATTCATTGTTATCTTGTTTCTGTGCAGTCATTTAACCTTCTGTACATTTTTATTAATAATTAATTATACTGTTTGTTATAAAAAAGATTTAGGGTGCAAGTAAAAGTTCATTATAATATGCATACGTAATCATCAATAGTATAAACTACAAACAAAACAGTTAGGTAATGTTAAGATTGAGGAGAAAGCAAGAGTGTGCCATATCATCAATCAAAACTTAAAAAATCGTTACAAAATAGCTCCTTTATAGCATTATTTTTATAGATTACCATTAAGATAACGCAGATAATCGCGCGTTGTAAATAAAGGAATCTGTTGCAGTTTATAAAAACGTGACCATTATAAATTTCCGTGGCAAATACGTTTGCCAAAATTCAACACGCAACGTAAAAATATTTATCAATGTGAACCCACCTTAAGCAAGCCGATTACATTTTCGCAACTGCGCAGTAGCATATAACGATGACCATAACGAAACAGCAAAATAAGAGGTAAAAAAGTCTCTAATTTACTTGAATTGTAAATCCGCCATCACGATGTGATTTACAAGATTGTTATTACCTATAAGATTTGACAACGTTGCATTTGAGAGTAGCGGTTATTTTATTACGTGCTTAACAAAAGTAAGAACCGGTAAGAACGCATACATTTCTACTATTATTCTTAGGTATGAATAGAAGTGACAGTACACCACTTGTTAAAATCGAACCAAAGCAGGAACAAGAAATCAATTTTTCTCTTCAGGGAAGCATTTTGGTTAGTAACGAACCTTTGGTTACCATAAAGGACGAAGTTACAGTTCGCGCACAGTGTTCTAAATTTTTTTATAATGATGTCCAGCCACACTCTGCCTTTCACCTTTTAACTCAGTGTAAAGCCGTGTCGAAAAATTTTAAATGTGCTGATTGTGATTATAAGACAAATGTTAAAAAGTACTTTAACCAACACCATTTAAAACATAAAGTTTCCAAGGATTTGAAATGTGCTAATTGTGATTATGAGACAAACAGTAAATATAACTTTAATCAACACCTTTTAACACATACAGTTTCTAAGGATTTTAAATGTGCTGATTGTAATTATGGGACAAATAATAAACACGTCTTCAAACGGCATCTAGTAAAACATAAATTGTCTAAGGGTCTAAAATGTGGTAATTGTGATTATGAGACAAATGATAAATATTACTTTAACCAACACCTTTTAAATCATAAAATTTCTAAAGAGTTTAAATGTGTTAATTGTGATTATGAGACAAACAATAAACATACTTTTAACCAACACCGTTTAAAACATAAAGTTTCTAAGGAATTTAAATGTGCTGATTGTGATTATGGAACAAATTATAAAAACAACTTTAAACAACATATTTTAAAACATAAAGTTTCGAAAGATTTTAAATGTGCTAATTGTGATTATGGAACAAACAACAAATATACCTTTAACCAACACCTTTTAAAACATACAGTTTCTAAGTATTTTAAATGTGCTCATTGTAATTATGGGACAAATCATAAACGCAACATCAATCGACATCTTTTAAATGATGAAATTTCAAAAGATTTTAAATGTGCTGATTGTGATTATGGGACAACTTATAAATGCAACTTTAAACAACATATTTTATTACATCAAGGTTCTAAGGTATTTACATGTGCTGATTGTGATTATGGGACAAACAACAAATATACCTTTAAGCAACACCTTTTAAAACATAAAGTCTCAAAGTATTTTGAATGTGCTCATTGTGATTATGGGACAAATTATAAATGCAACATCAAAAGACATCTTTTAAATCATAACGTTTCTAAGGATTTTAAAAATGCTGCTGAGACAAATGGTTAAAAGAACTTCAAACAACAACACTAACTGTTAAGGACTTTAAATGTGCTAAATTGTGATTAGGACACAAATAATAAATTTGGCTTTGAACAACACCAAACCACAGGTACCCCTTATCTTATCCACCATGGTTCTATTATTGTACCATAATTTATTCTACAATCAATAACACATAAGTCTTAGATAGGAACTGTAGAGTGCTGTGAACTCGGTTGTGAACAATTGAAACTACCAATAATTATTGTAAACAATAAATGTAAGGCGAGATATAAGGTAAAGAATTCTTTTTAATTTAGACGTTTTAAGTTAGGAGCAATATCACAAAATGAGTCAATGCTTAGGGATGGTAATAAGTGAATCCTTTCATCTTATGTTAATATTATGGACATCAGACATCTAGACCTTATTTTATTAAAAAGGATTTGAACTAAGATTTGAACAAACATGTTGCACAGCAGTTCAAATGCAACATCCCTATAAATATCTCGTAGCGTCTCTAATTAATATGCTTGGAGGAATTATGCAATTGTCATTAATTCGGTGTGCGTTTGAATTGCAGAACATTTTGTTCCTGTTAGTAAAGATTAATTACGTTTGCAAAAGATTACAATTCTTACATTTATTTTACTTAAATACACAAAGCAAATAATTACAGTTACGTTGAACTTAAAAAAAACCTAAACCATCTAAACAATTCTAATTTAAAATACTTTAGCACTTCAGTCCTCGGGTTAGATTCAAACTCCTTAAATAAATTATTATAAAGAAATATTGTCTTTTTTTTACCGTATGAATGAAGTCTCTTTATACAGCTGGAGTTGTTGAACTTGATGATTCGGTCGATGTCGAATCTTGGAATTTTATCTGCGACTCGCAAATTGTCGATGTCGTAGATGGCCACGTCTTGGTGCTTTGAAATCTGCAACCCTCCGCTGCAATCTCCTCGGATAGATGGACTCCCAGTAACTTGATTTTATAACGAACCTCTTATTTTTTTAAGAAGTCAATGATTTGCACGTAAATGGTGATTAAATTTCTTCCGAGCTGAGCGATACGATTATCTGGCAGTAACTCGAATATAGACTCGCTGTAAATCACACTTGATTTGGTTTTATTGTCCCGGCGGCCATGATTTAGGTGCCCAAGGATTCATTTTACGATCTTTATTATCTCTCCTCTCACTTTCCTTCTCTAAGGCCAGATGTCCACCTCATCGGGGCGACGAACTGTAGTCGTTTATCCAAATTGATCGGGCCGATTGAAATCGGCAATTCGTGTCCGTAGGTCGGTCGGTTTTCGAATGATTTTAATCGAGTATATTATTAGGTACATCTAAATAATAACATAGTATAACGAATAGAAGCATCAGAGGTGCTTTCATTTGTACCCGTAAACTTGCCAATCGTGCTCAAAAATTTAAATCTATGTATTGTACGACCAAAAGTTTTTTTCTTTTTCTTCAAAAACGAGTTTATTACGACTAACGACAATTGATCGTGGAAGCAGCGTCGGGCTAAAATAGTCGGTTGCGATTTCGATCGGTCACGACAGAAATCGAGCCTATGGTCAGGCTTCAATAGAAATACACGCGCGCGATCTTTATCGAACTATTCCAGTCGCTCCGATCCGGCCTCAGGCTTAAATACTGCCGCCATTACGCCATTTGGGGTGCATCCGCATTAAACTGAATTTATCTGGACTTCTAACAAACAAACTTGGATTTCGCAGGCAGGTTTCATTTACGTTTTCGGTTCGAGCTAGTCCCTTTTACAGATCCGGAGAAATTCAGTATAATGGCAACGCATCCTTACATATATGTATATTGATTTAATATTTAAATTTGGCGCCATTTACGCCAAAGCTGCGAGAACAAACACGAGATGGCGGCGCGTCTTTTTACATTTAGGTTAGGTTACTTATTCTTAATATTATCTTTGTTTATAAACAAAGATATTATATAATTATTATTTATAAACTTTACATTATAGGTATTCCATTCTAAGTTTGTTGTTCTATACAATTCTAGACAATTTAAAATCCTTAAAAACTTTGTTTTAAGAGGTGTCGTTTAAGATACGGTTTATAATTTGTCTTATAGTCACAATTAGATGTTGTTTGAAGACGGGTTTATGATTTGACTCATTATCACAATCGGTACGTTCAAGATCCGTTGAAACTTGATGTGTCAAAAGATGACGTTTGAGGAGTTGTTTATTGTTTGTCCCATAATCACAAGTAGCACATTTAAACTTGTTAGAAACTTTATGTGTTAAAAGATGTTCTTTGTAGTTGCCCTTAACATTTGTCTCAAAATCACAATCAACACATTTAAAATCCTTCAAAACTTTATGTGTTAAAAGATGTTGACAGTAGACATATTTATCATTTGTGCCGGAGTCTGTGCCATAATCACAATCAGCACATTTAAATTCTTTCGAGATTTTATGTTGTAAAAGATGTCGTTTGAAGTAGTGTTTATTATTTGTCCCATAAGCACAAGTGGAACATTTAAAATCCTTAGAACTTCTATGTTTTAAAAGGTGTTGTTTAAAATGTGATTTATAATTTGACTCATAATCACAATCAGCACATTTAAAATCTTTAGTAACTTTATGCTTTAAATCATGTATTTCGAGGTACTTTTTAACATTTGTTCTATAATCACACGTAGCACATTTAAAATCTGTAGAAATTTTATGTATTAAAAGATGTTTTTTGAAGTAACTCACAACATTTGTCGCATAATTACAATCACCACATTTAAAATCTTTAGAGACTTTATGTTTTAAAAGATGTTGCTTGAAGTTGCTTATATAATTTGTCCCATAATCACAATCATCACATTTAAAATCTTTAGAAATTTTATGTTTTAAAAGATGGCGTTTGAAGTACTTTTTAAAATTTGTCCCATAATCACAATGGGCACACTTAAAATCATTAGACACTGTTTTACACGGCGTTATACGGACACGTTTAGAGTGCTGCTGTACTTCTTCATTATAAAGAAATGTAGAACATGGTGTACTGATGGTATTTTCGTCTTTTATCGTCACCAAAACATCGTTGCTTACTGAGATGTGTCCCTGAAGAAAGGAATGGATTTCTTCTTCTTGTTTTGGTTCTATTTTAATTAGGGTGTCATCTCCATCCATACCTAACAACAATGTAATAAATAAATGTGTTAAAAACCTGTTTGGTTTATCAAAAATCTATTTTGGTATCAACAAGATGCCAATGCCAGGCAACCCATAGACATATGAATGTCATGTGTATGGTATGGCCGTATGGGGCGTGTTTTATTTATGTATGGGGCAACCACAGAGTTGTATATAAGTAAATAGAGAGGCAGTACATACGACCTGCGCGTGGAAAAATAACTCCAACTACAGTGGCCGACTTTTAATGGCGGAGCCGTTGGGACTCATGCGCAGTGCGTGAAAGGGAATCAGCACGATTTTTGGGTGCATTCAGTTCTTAGACCATATAGTACATGGAC